TTCACTTCTGTGATTAAAAAGATCTGAGAAGAACAATTAGAGGAGAAAACGTTTATTTGGGGGCTCTTGGTTTCAGAGATGTCAGTCCACAGGTGACCAACTCCATTGTTCTGTTGCTCTGGGCCCAAGGTGGGGCAGAACACCATGTGTGGTGGAGAAAAGCAGCTCAGGTCATTGAACCAGAAAGGAATGACAGCAAGGGTGGGTGTGGGGAAGAAGAGCACAAATTAGCATCACTTAACAAGGACAAAATATATACCAAAGGCAGCTCCGGGGGACCCACCTCCTCCATCCACACCCTACCTGCCTATAGTTACCCCCCAGTTAATACCTATCAGAGGGTTGATGCATTGATTAGGTTAAGATCTGCATAACCCAGTCATTTCACCTCCAAACTTTCTTGCATTGTTTCACCCATGAGCTTTAGGGTGGGGACAACTAATATCTAAACCATAACAAGCCTGAAAGCAGGACAACCTGCCATCGGGTCATAAGAGGGCAGTTTCCCCCACCCCCTCCTGGTAGTGAGGATTGAAATCAGGGGCACTATGACACTGAGCTACTACTGGTCCCCAGCCCTTTTTATTTTTTTTGAGACAAGGTCTTGCTTGGAATCCCTAAATCCATTAATTGGCTAAGGTGCCCTAGGGTCAATAGGGAATGGAATTGAAAGCACCCACTGCATTCTGAGAAGCAAGAAGAACACTGACATAAAATAGATGATCAGCAAAATATCAAAGATATCAAGAAGTGAAAATTAAGAGATGATGTTCCTTCCTTTGGAACTGCTGCAAAATATCAGGGCATTTAGATAGACCCCAGTCTCCAGCACATCCTTTTCTCCTTTTGCAGTCACACTTCTCTGTGTTGCCGCTGTTGATGTGGATTCCATTATTGAAGAACCATATACATCCCTGTTGTGAATTGCAAAGTAGTACTTTTCTCCATGTGTTGCACTCCATTGAAGGATAACTTTGTGTTTTCGGTATTCCAGGGAATATTTTAGTGAGTTTGTCCAAAGATGATCTAGCCTAGGAAGTGATGACACAGATGTATGTTGCAGACATTGAAATGATATTATTATTAGACTTTAATTTCCTTTTTTGCACTTTATTTCTCAGAAGGTACAGATAGAAAGACTATCAGTAAGCAATGGAAAGGAATTATTTTCTCAAAATTATTTCTTGCTTTCCTCCTCAACTATTTCTGCTGTTGACATCAATAAGACCTCTCACTGGAAGGTGGAGGATTCATGTAATATTTTTTTTTTTTTGCCTTCACCAAGAGAATGGCAGGCCCCATAGACTCTCTCTTTTTGTTTGGTTCTGGGGATTGAACTCAGGGGCACTTAGCCACATCCCCAGGAGCCCCTCCCCCATCCACATCTTTTTGTATTTTATTTAGAGACAGGGTCTCACTGAGTTGCTTAGTTCCTGGCTAAGTTGCTGAGGCTGGCTTTGAACTTGCAATCCTCCTGCCTGAGCCTCTGGAATTACACGCATGTACCACTGCACCCAGCTCGCATAGGCTCTCTTGCAAGGAAGAATTGGAAGTACAGTTCAACAATTGTTTATTAGCAATACAATAATCCAAAAACGTTTTTACCTAATGTCTGGAGCATATATTTGTGAAGCTCCTTTGGCAGCCAAATCTGATGGGGTTAAGTCGAAGCTATTGTTTTTGTTTCTTTTTTTAAATTTTTTTTTAGTTGTAGATGGACCCAATATCTTTATTTATCCATTTTTATGCCTCACACATGCAAGGCGGGCGCTCTACCACTGAGCTACAGCCCCAGCCCTGCGAAGCTATTGTTTTGAAAATCTCAGCTTACGTGTACATGCATAAGAATGATTGTTTACTGGACACTGTCCTGTTTTATTCAGCAGAAGTACACGTATACAACTATGAACCGTTATGATTTGCATCCCATGGAGCTGCAGTGGATAGGCCACTTAAAGCTGAGCAAGTATCCATTATTGCTTCATCACTCTCAACACAGGGACTTTGAAGAAAATTTGCTAGAGTACTAGTGGGGGAGACCTTGTTCAGCTAGAAGGCCGAACCTGAGAGGTGATGAGGACTGTGTGGGATGGACCCTGGGCAGGAGTGCTTTGTACTCTCTCAGCCTGGAGTCCCTGAGCTAGAAACTTGGAATATCACTGCTCTGCTACAAGTCCTTGTTGACTGACTCCTCTCTGGTTGTTAAGGAAGAAAAGAGACTGTCCAAAGAGAGGGAAGACCCATACACATGATTTGACCCTAGTTCCCCTGAGGTGGCACCTCAGGTGTTTTGGTCCTCAGGGATGAATGAGGACTCCTGAGACTAGAACTGGCAGTTCCAAGCAATGCAGGAGGAGGGCTCAGCTACACCTAGCTGTCTACCACTGTCCAAGCTCCCTGGAAATACCCCTTCATCAGGAATCTGGAGGCCACTGGCTTCAAATTCATTATAATGCCAAATTTTCCACCCAGGAGGGGTTCCCTCTGCCACCTGTGAACACAGGTATGAAGAAGCATGATCTGGAACTGAACATGCTCAGGAATGTGCCAGCTTGTGCCTGTGTTTTTTACATGTGATGACAAGTCTTTCACCCTGAAAAAAAGTACAACTAATGAAACCTCCTGGGCCATCTTGCGCCCAGCAAGAAGATATAAAATTCTTAGGGAAATTAATGCTCCATAACAAAATTCCTTTAGATTATATTCCAGCCAAGCAAGAAGAATATTTTTCTACTGCCAATATACTTCCCACTGCATTAATATTAACACTTGTGAAATCCAAGAGCACCTTGAAAAGATTCAAAACAGGCATCTAGGCTTTTATAAATATCTACCGAAGCACCTGGGAATAAATGACTGATTCACCAGATTATTCTCCTGGCTCCCCTAGTGCATTACGTCTTCATTTTCTTGGCTACTTAAATGAGGAATGTCCATTTTACCGATCTGATTTATGATTTATGCCATAATGAAATGTACTTCAATCTGCTGTTATAAAACCGTTTCAAAAGGAGCTCAAATTTATGGTGTTAGAGCTTACAGTCCATGATGATCCTTACCTCATTTTAGCACCCACATGGCTTTACTCAATTGCACACAGTTTCGATTAAATTAAAGCTAATTAAGCCAAATCATTTCTCCTCTTCAGGCTAGGAGGGTTCCCAGCACCTTACAGCCCAGATCTTTGAACTGGCCTTCTTAAGCATTTCAACTGAGCATTCGCAGAAGGAGCACAACACCTACTTGTCACAAGTCTTACCTGCATGAATAGGGGTGAGGTCTTCCCAGTAAGGGTTCCCCCTGCCTTCCTTGTTTGGGGGACACTGGTAACCAGTTTGGGACCACGCCCAGTGCGCCCCTCGCTTACTACAAGTAGTAGACCTTTTCTCAGCCTTCTGCCTGTGCAGATTGGCTTTGCAGTCACCTACGGGCAATCTCGCGGGGTTCGGTTATCCTTCCCATGTGAAAACTCACAGGCCGTGAAAATACAACCTGTGACAGAAAAACCGATGCCCAGCCCTCTCAGTGAACACCTACTGGATGAAAAATTGCCCTGGGAAAATAGCTAGGGAAAGAAAGCCCTGCACAGGGACCCACCAGGTCTCCTGATGGAGATAGTCTCCAGTCTCTTGGAGCTGGGCACTGCTCCCCCAAGGGCTGGTGAGAAACCCCCGCTCCCTGTAGGGCTAGGAGAGGTGCCAGCAGCCAGAACTCGACCTTCCCCCAGCCTTGCTGAGGCCCAGCCTTGCTACCAGGCTGTTTTAGTCACCTTTCTTCCCTACTGTGACTAAAAGGACTCAACCAGCACAATTATAGAGGAGGGGAAGTTTATTTAAGGGAGCACAGTTTCAGATGTTTTAGTCCATAGAAGGCGGCCCCCATTCCTCTGGGGTTGGGGTGAGGCAGAACTTCCTGGAAGCAGAGGGGAGCAGCTCACTTGGTGTCAGAAAGCAGACAGAGAGACTCCACCTGAAGCTATTCCCCATAGCCAAGTCCCCAAGGAAGGCTTCCTCCAGCCACACCCCCACTGGCCTCCAGTTACCACTCAGTCAATCCCCTCAGGGATTCATTCACCCATTAAATTAAGGCTAAGTAAGCCACATCATTGCTCTTCCAAACCTTGTGCCTTTGGGGCCCAGCACACCTAAACCTTAACACGGGCTCCTGGAGGAACAAATCAGGAGGCAGAAAGCTGGGGGGCAACACCGAGGGAATCCCTAGGAAAAACATACATTTACTTAAGTACAAACAAGTCATAAAATTATTAAACGCCTACACGAAAATAATACAAAATGCACAGCAAAATCTACCAAAGGAAGAATTTCTTTAAAATAAACAAAACAGAGCCCTACAAGGAAACTGCAAACGGTGTTTGTTGCAGGGTGTGATCTTGGATTGCGATATCCCGTGGGATATGACGGAGATCTTTTCCACCTAAACCTAAAATTTCCAAGATTCAAAAGACACCGGTATTGGTGACACCTACAAGTCTCAATAGCCGTTGTTCCCTGAGTTCTACGTGAGTGAAAAATCACAGGCAGCTGCAGGCCGCGGTTGGATAAGGAGTAATGGAACTGGCGAGACCAAGAAATGGCTTTGGCGGCCACACCGCATTTCCCTGGGAGGTGCAAACCCCAAACATAGTCAAAGCTGGACTCTCCATTGCAAAACAAAACTTGTTTAGGTAAAAGAAACTGCGGATAGAGCTAAAGTGGCAATTGTTGAACTGGCCTTTCAGAAAAATGGCATTCGCCAGTCCCTCGTTTGTACCCGACATAACCATCACCCACAAAGCTGAAATGGAGTTTGCTCCCACGAATCCGGAACTTGCTTCCACTTAAATGGCAAGCGCTGCTGCTAAAACCGAGTTCTTACGACTAAAAATCGGAGGCTGGAATAAACACTAAGAAATGGCCAATCCCGGACTTGCTCCGAGGAAGCGATCGCCCTCTGGTGTTAAGTCCTAACTGGCCATAGACAAACGGGGACTCCAAGGACCAGGAAACCCAAGTCGGGACCCCAGGACGCGATTCGGCTTCTAGCTTCGCCTCCAATCAGGACACTCCTGGTAAATTGGGCAGACAAGAAATGGAAATCGCAGGCGCCTCTAAATGGAAGCTTGCTAAGCCAATAAAGGCACATCGCAGGGAGGCCAGGGATCCTGCGACAGAGGCGCGGCGGACACTGAAACAAAACTCGGTTCTTTGGCGGAGAAGGAGAGGAGGGCGTCGGGAAGACTGTGCTGGGAAAGAAAAAGCTCAGGCGCGGCTACAGCCGAAGGACTCGGGAACAGAGGCGCCGCGGCCCTGCCAGCCTGGCTGCCACTAAGGAACTCTGTTATGGCAACCGCGGAAACTGCACGTTAGAACCCATCAGAGCTGTGTATTCGGCGGTGCCACCGAGAAGACGCGCGCACAGAACAACTAGCTGAGCCGAGACCAAGAGAAAGTGGGCGGGAGAGAATGGTGTGCTGGGATTCCGCAAAGGACCTCAACTAGCCTTAGTGCCAGGGACAAACTTCCACTTTGGCGCCAACCACGGTGCTGTCACCTAGCATCAGGCTACGCAAAGAAAGGAGCCTTACTGCCACCCAGGCTTGGTGCAAATATGTGCTGTGACAGGAAAACTGTCGGGGGCACGCTGCTGGTCAGAGAGCTAATGGGAACACCGGGAAAGGTAACCGGGAAAGGCTGCACCAACTGGCCTAGGAAGGAGAAAGGGATAGCCCAGAGTTCTCTCTGTCCAACTAATGGCAGTGCTAAGGAGAAAAAGCAGGCTCTTTCTCTTTAGGGTGCGGCGCAAGTGAACTGCGATTCCAATTGCTGGCTTCACTGGACCCTGCCTGCAAAAGCCAAAACCAGCTTATGGCTTTGCCGAGGCCAAAGGCATCGCTTCTGGCTCCTTCAGCGGTGCAGCAAGTAAATCTACACCAGCTGGTAGCAGCAATGTCGGTGAGTCAATGCGTCTAGTGAGATTTCTATTCCCACTGGCTGTCCCCAAACCCGCGCTTCCGAAATAACAAAAACTTTCTTTTCTTGGGGAAGTCCGGGCCCCCAATTACCAAAGTCTCCAGCAACTAACCCAGAGGGCTGCACGTGATGAGAGCAGGCTGAGTCTCCCCCGAGGTGGGAACGGATCAGGCTGATCTAAGGGAAAAGTAAGGTATCCTGGACACCAACAGCTCTGCTAGCAGGAAGCAGTGCTGGGCCCTTCTTGCATGCCACCCCTCCGTCTTGGTCTGGGGCCCCTCTTCTTTTATAGACACCTCAGCGCTTTTAAGGCGAGTCAGAAAAACCTTTTTTTTTAAGCAAATATATTTTTTTAAAGAGAGAATTTTTTAATATTTATTTTTTAGTTATCAGCGGACACAACATCTTTGTTTGTATGTGGTGCTGAGGATCCAACCCGGGCCACACACATGCCAGGCGAGGGCGCTACCACTTGAGCCACATCCCCAGCCCCCCGCCTTTTTTTTCCCCAAAGGAAACTCTGCCCTAAACCTTCAAACTAAGGCTCCAGAATTACTTAGCTAGGGTTCTGTCAAATTAACGTTTTAAATGAGTCATTGATGGCTTCCCTGTCTTGAGATGTTGCAATGGTGACAAAGTTTCAAGCACTTGAATCCTCCCTTTCCACTCACTTTTCAAGTTAGACTGATGCCTCTGAATTGCTTTTTGCTAGAAAGTATAGAGGCGTCACTGCACAGAAGAAAATTGCTCTGTCCCACGACATTTTATGCTTCCCCCAAAGATCTGCACTACTGGAAGGGATGCCCCACAGAGACTGCAGACTCCACCATGTGCATCTCCAGCAGCCCTTAAGATCTGCCACACTCCTCTGGTCCCATCAAATCAATTCCATCCTCTTCCTAAATGAGCCTGGGATGTTTGCAGGAGGCACAGGTGTCCCAGAGAGGTAAGGGGGCCCCTTTTGGACTCTTATCTCACCTATTCTCAAGCTGGCTACTACAGTCTTCCCCCACTATCCTACCATTTCCTCCCCTAGCCAAAACCCTCTCTGGTACTTGAAGCATCTCCAATCGCCTCCTTTGCTGTGGATCTGGAGAATGGAGGAAGAAGTGCCTTGTCCCCACAGGAAAAGGTACAGCCACCTTATCAGGACCAAGAGGCCAGGGCAGAGAGCTGTTTAAAGCAAAACTGGGGGCCCATCAGTCCTATTACTCACTCACCCACCCCTTGCCTACTTCATTCATTCACACTTTGCACTACTGCAGATTGAACCTATGTATTTGAGGCATGCTGGGCAAGCACTATGGCGCTGAGCTAAACCCCCAACACTTCCCCTCCACCCTAGCCTTGCATCTTAGCAGAAATATTGGAATTAGCACCCCTAGTGTTAAGGGTTACCAACTCCAGTTTAGGAATCTAAAGAGGAGTTTGGTAGGAGTTACTCCCCTGAAGGAGTGAGTATGCTCCATCCATCAAACTTGGAAGAGCTCCCTTGCTATCAGGCATGTCCAGAGCCCCCTATTCCATGGAGGCTGAGCCAAGCACACACGTGGTGGGCCCATCACTGGATGAGTTCACTGGATGAAGTCAGCAGTATTGCCAATGCCCTCAATTCTCTCTCTCTCTTTTTTTAATGTTGTCAATTGACACTCAACAAATGAACATATTTATGAACTACAATGTGATATCTCTATACATACATACCTTTTTTGAACCTGTGCCTGTCTCATTCTTAAAAGCTTATCTTTGAGAAGTTTTGTTCCATGACCCAGGTGTGGAGAGTCCATTCTCTCCACTGAACTCTACAACCTGCCACTATTGGCTGTCTGGGCCACAGCTTACAATCATCTGCCTCTTCTGATGTCCATTGTTTCCTTCCTTCCTTCCTTCCTTCCTTCCTTCCTTCCTTCCTTCCTTCCTTTCTCTCTCTCCCTCCTTTCCTTCACTTTTTATTTTTACTTTTTCCCTTTTAATTTTTGTTATGACTCTTTCCTCTTTATTCCCTTATTTCTCATGATTATTCCTACCATTTTCTCTTAACCCCACCACAGCTCATATAAAAGGCTGGTTCTGATAGAGTCATCATGAACATTAGGTTACTTTGCATTTAACCAGCCACCATGGGGTATGAGAGTTGGCTGTGTCCTGCATGTCTCTTGACTTTAACTTGATTTTCTCTCACAAACATAAGCTCTTCAAAAGCAGGAAGCAGCTCTTCAAGTCTCTATATGCGGCATCCACCATAGAATTTCACTCATGACAGGTTACCACTCATGCTCCCTAAATATCTGAATTAAACTGACTTGGTTCTATTGAAGATAAATGTCTGGTCAAGGAAAGCTCTGCTTTCATGCCCTCCCATTTTTGTGACTAGAATGTCTGATAAACTGAAGGAAACATCCACTAGAAAGTAACTGCTCCAAGCACATGACATGAGGAAAAGCAATAAGTTCACAGCAGAAACACACATTAGAAACCTTTATAATTTATTAATCATTTAGGTTGTATTTATGATTTCATCAATTATGATAATACAATAATCATAATTTAACAACTTACTTTCTGCTTTCAGCTGTCTACTTATCACTGATGGATGAATTGTATCATGATACTACCTATGAAAGGTTTTGTTTTCAGTTCACAGATGGAAACATGAAGACTATAGATATTAAATCACCTGCTGAGTGTCATATCTAGAAAGTTGTAGGAATGGAACTTAAACTTGTGAAATTCAGGACCTTTGCATTGGTCGTCCCTATCAGAGGTATTCACCACAATTTTAGAAAGTTCTTTAATGTAGTTATTCATTAAAAACATAAAAATAAAAACAAAATAAAATTTGGAGTCAACAATTACAATTACAATTTGTAATTCAACAATTACACATGAACCCACCACATCTGAATACTCCTTCAACTCTCTCTGCGAACCTCTCTCTCTCCTCAGAGACCAGGGTATTCACAAGCACGGAGCAGGAATGTATTGCACAGATGGCCAACATCTCAGACTCAAGCAGAATTGTCCTGAGAATCAAAGGAGGGAAACCTACAGAAGTTATGAAGTATTTATTAGTCATTTTTGGATGGTGGTAGGGAGTTCTGAAGATTTGCTTACCCACCAAAATACATCCGCAGGCCTTCTTATATTATATTTTGAGACATGGTCTCACTAAGTACTTTAGGGCCTCCTTAATTTGCTTGAGGCTGGCTTTGAACTTAAGATCATCCTACCTCAGCCTCCTGAGTCCTAGAGTAACAGTCAAGCAAAACCACACCCAGCCTGGGAGCAATGTTCTAAACTGCTCCTCCAGTCGAATCCCCTTTATGTATAGTTTGCCACATGAATTTCCTTGGTTACTCTTTTGGCTGTGTTCATGGTAACTCAACCCTTGGCCTCCAGAAAATCCCTTCCCCTGTACTATCCATCTCTAACTTCTTCTTATCTTCTCTCTCCTTTTGTGTGTGTTTGTTTGTGAAGGGACCCTGGATATTAATTAATTACTTTATTTATTTATTTACTGTACCATGGTTATTTTGAATTACCAAATTGATTAGATTAAGAGATGCAGAGGATTAAGAGGCTTATGGGTGTGTCAATGAGGATGTGTCTAGACAGGATTGGCATGTGGGATAGCCAAGAGAAACGGAGACCTCATTAAGCATGGTCAGTACCATCCAATGAGATGATGGCTTGGATAGAATGAAAATTGGAAGAACAAGGAAAGCAGCAGCAGATGCAAGCTGATTCCTCTTGAACAGTTCCTGATTGCTGCTGTGATTGAATGTCAGACTCTTGCTTCTTCCAAAGCAGGCTCTGCCAGTGATTCTCCAGAAGCCTTTGGTCTACTACGAGGGGAGCACCCTGATTTCTCTTGTTCTGGGGATTCAGCCTCTTGGACTGTGCAGATACTTTGTTTTTCCAGTTCTCCAGCCTACAGACTGCCATTGTGGATGATCCAGCTTCTGGTGCGTAAGTCAGCCTAATAAGTTCCCTTCTTATAACCATACTTCCTGTTGATTCTATTCCTCTCCAGAACCATAATGCACAGGGATTGAGCCCAAACTGCTTAATCACTGAGCCACATTCTCAGAATTTTTTTTCCAGACAATGTCTCCTAAATTCTTAGGGTCTAGCTAAATTGCTGAGGCTGGCTTGAACTTGCAATCTTCCAGCCTCAGCGTCCTCCAAGGCTAACTATCTCTCTCTCTCTCTCTCTCTCTCCCTCTCTCTCCCTCTCCCTCTCCCTCTCCCTCTCCCCCTGTCCCTCTCTTTCTCCCTCTTCTCTCCTTGGAGACCAGGTAGTAAGGTGTAGGCCATGACAACCAGTGATGGGTATCCTGGGATTTTTCAAAATTGTTTTAAACCTGTCTATCAACCAAATCAATTCAATCAAACACTGACATCCAAGATGATTGAATTTTGCCTTCAGCAGGAATGTACTCATGAGATCCTATCTCCACTAACTTCTACACCGTGTGCTTCAGGTCAAGAGTAGCCCAGAAGAGTAGAAATCATCAGGCAAGGGGACTCTGAAGACTTTTCATCCTCTGAGAGTCTGCAGCTATGGAGAAGCATTTCCCCAGCTGTGTGAAGGAGGCCTGGGATTGTGGCTCCAGGGCCACAGGCACTGCTGGCCCTCATGGAATCAGATCCTAGGCCCTGGCCTCTGTCTTTTTATCCTAGGCTGAGCTTCCTTTCTTGGAATCACCAGGACTTTAACCGTGAAACACTTTTAAAACCCTGTGGGTTTCTTGGCTCTGACTGCCCCCTCCATGAATCCGGATTGCACAGCACTTTGAGAAGAGGCACAGAGCTGCCTGCCTGCCCAGGCCCAAAGCCTCTGACCCAGCAAGAGCCGCATACCCCACTAGGAGAATTGGATGCCTCTAAGAAACTAGGCAGACCAGTGCCCATGCTCTTTCCAGCATTGTGCTGTGCGGATGTCAAGAGCCACTGCCTGAGGTTTCCACTCCCATGCAGAGACTTTAGATTTTAAGGCTCTGGACTCCTGGCTGCCTGCCTTTGGCTTGAGAGCACTGGCAACTCTGCGAACATGCTGCAATGGATGATCATCTGAGAAGAAACAGTGTTAAAATAAACAATTCTCAGATTAGCAACCAAGTGAGAAGTTTACGCCTTCTTGAATTTTCATAAAATTTTCTGTCCCTTGTATAATAAAATTATAGAAACAATTGTTTTTCACTTGTGTGTTTGATTTGGAGATTGGGAAATGAAAGGCAGGTTGGCTGGATGCCAGTATGGGCCCTGCGCAGGTATCTTTTCTTTGCTGGACAAGGGATGGACGCTGGGGTCCCCTTGCACAGGGGGCAGACAGGGTTCTCCATTGCCTGTTGATCCTGCGCGGTATTAATGTATGATCAATGTTAATTACAAGTATTCTTCAACTCATTCCACCTCTGTAATTGTTCTGGGGCCAAACATTCACAGGGCTTAATCCCAGAGTTGTCTGAATGTTTGGACTTCTATAATGAATTGCAAAAGTCTTACTTTTACACTGTTGATACACCACAGGGAGATGTTCTACTTTGTCAGATTCAAAAAGAATATTTCAAGGAAAGGCAAAACAGCTAAGCAAAGTATATTCCCAGAGAAACTGATGACCCAGATCAGTTGTAGAGATGTTCATGTGTCTTCAAGGAAGTACCTCAATTTTCAGCATATAGGTTTTTTAAAATTTTTATCTATTTTTATGTATTTTATTTTTTAAGAGAGAGAGAATTTTTTAATATTTATTTTTTAGTTTTCAGTGGACACGACATCTTTATTTTATTTTTATGTGGTGCTGAGGATCGAACCCAGTGCCCTGCTCATGCCAGGCGAGCGCAATACCGCTTGAGCCACATCCCCAGCCCAATCTATTTTTATTTTTTTAAGTGTTGAACAATATAAACACAATCACGAAGAATCAGAAATAAAGGACAGTGCTGGTAGCAGGCCCGCCCTGGCCCCTGGGGACTCAACCCCCAGTTCTTTGTTATGCATGTCAATGTGGCCGTGACGCGGGCTTGCGGTTCCCTGTTTATCTGCCTGGAGCATACCTGTCTCTCGGGAACATCTTGACCTGTTCGAGCCTCCTGATAGGGGACGGTGACGTGACGGTAACCCAAGGACGCAGTTATTACTCTTCCCTCCTCACTTTTGAGTGATTTCCCGCAGCTGTTAAAAAGATATATAAGGGGAACAAATCTGGCAATAAAGCGCGCACATGCTCCCTCCTGGATGAAGAACCTTGGTGTCCTGTGTATTTTTAACCCCGCCGTCCCTCGCCGGACTCGGCTCCGTTAGCCGAGGACAGTCCCTAATTTAATACTTTATTTCATGCACAAGTTTTTCAGCATCAATTGCAAAATACATTATTGAAATATGAAATATTGATGCAATTGAAATATATCTTGAATTCACACACTGGCAGTTCTCTATAATCCAACTTTCAAATAGTCACTAATAGAATTAGGAGTAGAGGTCTACAGTTTTTTTCCCGTTCCTCTTCAATATTTTGAAAAAAGATTGAGAGTAGTCAGCCATGCTTCTTTTAATTTTTCATAGAATTCACTGATGAAACTACTATGCCCAGAGCTTTCACTTATTAGGATTTATTTTCCCCTAGTGGTGGACACTGAACCCAGGCAGGGCCTCCAGCATATGCTCTATACCATTCAGCTACATCCCCAGCCTCACCTTGTGTTTGATTACCTATTCAAGTTGTAGATTTGTTCTGGTGTTCTTGTTGATTCAGTCTTGCTAGTCTTTGTTAATGTCAGCATTCATTCGAGCTGATAGAATTAAGACATGCCAGTGATTAAGAGGTGTGATTGGCATGTGGGATAGCAATTGAAATGGAGACCCTCCCTAAAGTTGGTCAGCATCCTCCAAAAAGATGGTAGCTTGGATAGAATAAAAGGTGGAAGAACAAGGCAGCAGCAGCAGATGCAAGTGCTCATCTTCTTGATTGCTGATGCCATCACTTGAGGATATCGGATTCTTGCTTCTTCACTCCTCCAAAGTGGATTCTGGCAGGGATTGTCCAGGGAGTTTCCAGAAGCCTTCTGTTCAGACTAGGAGAACACTGATGAGAATACTCTTCTTTCCAGGGCTTCAGCCACTTGTGCAGCTACTGGTTCCTCCAGCTCTACAGCCTGCAAATGGCCATTGGGGACTATCCAGCTTCTGGTCAAGTAAGCCAATCTAATCATCCCCTTTTTATAATCATACGTCCTGTTGAATCTCTTCCTCTTGAGAACTCTGTCTAATACACCTTCGTGGTCACTGTTTCTGCTTCATCCCATAAATTTTGGTATAGTGTGTTTCCATTGTTATTAGTTATCTATGTATTTTCTTCTATTCCTTGTGCTTTTTTTGCTTGATCAGAATATTATTTAAATTTTTTTTTGCTTTCCTCAATTTTATGAATTTTTACTTCCCGTTTTTATTATGAATTTCTAGCATTATCCTACTGGGTGTTTAGAAGATACTGACTGCAAAATAGTTTTAAAAAATCTCCAGTATGGGCCATATATACACTTAATGAGGGATTATGGCCTCATTTACTCCAAAGAGCCCCAAGTCCTCCTATTATCGTATTAGGGATTCATTTATCAAGTTATGAATTGGATGGAGTGGGGTATGAGGTGATAGGTCAATCAAGATTATAGTACCAACTCTGAAAAACAAAACTCATTTCCCATTTTTAAATTGCTTATTCACAAGTACTCTACCACACAGGCAGAGTTCAGGAATGAAAAGGGTTACAAACAAATCATTTTGTGATTATCTAAATAATGTGCTGAAAACCCTGCTAAAGCCAGAAGTAAAATGTCTATTTTTCAGTGTCTTGTATGGAGCAAGTCTTCCGATTACAGAGACTAACAAATAATTGTTGTTGTTGTTAATCTCATTAATTGGGCTTTCTGATGAAATTTCATTTCAGGATTAAAGCAAACACCACCCATATTCCCAGTCTGTTGTTAGAAACTCCCTGGAGGCCAGAGAAGTTTCAGAACACCAAATCTGCTGCCTGCTGAGTCCCACATACTTGGTGGTACCTTGTGTAAGGCCCCAAACATCAGGGAACATCACTTTCTCTTCTGTGTATCACAGGCTTGGAATTCTGTAGACCAGGCACCAGGGCTCCAGAGGCCTCTGATCCTGAGCTCAATATTTCCTGGGGCCCAGTTGCTGCCCTTCTACCTCCAGCCATAAGTTATCACCCATGACAGCCAAGACTTGCACTGCAATCTGCATTCTACACCCCAAGGGCTTCTTCTCTGGCATTGGTCATGGAAAGATACTTTCCAAAAGCACATGGCACCTTGCACCAGGACACAGAGCTTCCTGTACTGGACCGGGCTTCTGCAACCCAGAAGAAGCCGCAGGCACCCCCAGGAAAGTCAGGGGTCTCAAAGGTGCCCCGACATTGACCACCCTCTGGGGCTCCCTTGTGTTCCAGGTGCAAGTGTGAGGGAGGTCTTGAGCCCAAGACCTATGGTGGTGGTGACCCTTGTAAGAGTGCTCTTCTCCCTGCCCCCGCCAGAGGCCAGGAGACCAGCCAAGGCTGCAGGGAGTGGACCAGTTGACACCCTTAGACTCAAGCAACCTTTGGCACCCAGGAATGCCGAGATTTCTGCTGCAACCATTTTTGGAGGAGTGTTTTGTTAGAAATACCTAGAAGTAAAGCTTGGATTTCCTACTCCACCATGGAGACTTCAGAGCTGGTGTTTTCTTAATAAATTTTTGCCAAAATGTGAAATTCTTACATGTAGTGTACTCCTGTTTGGGGATGCTGGGTGGTGAGACACTATGTCCAGATCTAAGGGGGTCAAGTCTGGATCTAAGGGTGCCCTCCCTCATTGTTCTTGCTCTGCTTATCAGCAGGGTGGACTGGCAGCATCTTCTCAATAGAAGTGGGTAGCCAGGGCACTGGTGGATTGGTGTTCTACCAGCAGGGCATCTTTAAGCAGATACACAGCAGCCTTGAGAACCCAGATGGGAAATGATCTTCCTGTGGTACCCTGCTATCTATTTCCCCAAGGCTACTTCCGGGGTGCCCTTGCAGTTGACTAAATGCCACTTCTGCCTGTCTTCCTTTCAAACCCAACTACAACCTTCTGCTTCTTGGGACTCAGAGTCTGCCCAGGGAGTTAGAATTCAAAAGAGTCAAGAAGCCAAAGTAGACGATCAAGTCCAGCCAGGGGAGGGCAGGCAAGCTTCCCAGTCTGGGTCATAGCTGCCACTACACACCTGACAGCACTCACTGCAAGGCCTTACAACAGACGGCAGCAGCTACCGTCTGTTTGAGCTACCTCAAAACTCTGAACCTTGGTATTCACCCATTGGCATAGATCCTCCAGAAGACTCCACCCAGAGGGTCCTGCTTCCAGGAGGCCTCCAAGGAACTGCCCCAAGGGAGGCCTTCTTGGACCCTACTTTTCCTAGCGTTTTTAAAATCTGAACTTGAAATCATGGGCCTTTGGTTTTTGACAACCTTACAAGATGTATCTCCAGTACTTTTTAGTTCTTGTTTTGAGACTTGATCTAATGAAGTTGCTAAATCATCTCTTGAACTTTTTTTTCATACCAGGATTGAACTTAGGGGTACTCAACCACTGAGCCACATATCCAGCCCTATTTCATATTTAATTTAGAGGCAGGGTCTCACTTAGTTGTGTAGCACCTCACCTTTGCTGTTACTGGCTTAGAACTCCCAATTCTCCTTTCTCAGCCTTCCCAGCCACTGGAGTTACAGCCACTCGGTCACCCTACCCGCCTTGTCTTGAATTTGTAATCCTCTTGTATCAGCCTTCTAGGTCACTGAGATTATAAGCCTGTACTGTCCTGACCCACATGGCAGGATTTATTTATTTTTCTAATTTAAAGACTGATTGAATAGATTTTTCTGCCTCTTTTCGGTAGAATGAATGACTGAGACCCTAAGCTGATACAAGGGAGAGAAGAAGTTAAACCTCTTTCTTCACAGTGTCTGGATTTAATATTTAGTTACTTCTAAAGAACTTAAACAAACTAGAATAAAATCTAATCACAGAAGTTGCATTAGGTAAGTTCCTCAGAATCAGACATTGAGTCAAAGTTTTATATGCAAATACTTTATGAAAGACACATTGCCAGAGTAATGGACAGGA